CTGCTGACACTCATTCTGCTGTGTGTTGGAGTAAGGAAAGTAGTCATCATTAGAAGTGTCATCACATCACAGTAGCAGTATTGGGGAGGAGGTGAGACAACTATTGGCAGCTGGTTTCGAATTTGCTTGAGCCTGTCATGAAGATACATGTTTGGTTTGAAGACTATCCCAAAGACATTGCTTTACAATAGACAAATTATAGAAATAATCTGCTATACTGGTATGAAATAGTATTTTAAGTTGGAAGGAACCTTTAGAGGGAATCTAGCTCGACCCTTGGCTCAAAGCCAGGCTAACATCAGAATAGATAAGGTTGCTCAGAGCCTTGTGCAATTAAATCTTGAAGATCTCCAAGGCTGTATTTCTGCTTCCTCTGTGTGCAGTTGGTTCTAGTGCTTAGCCTCTTCCATGCAGATAGGTCCCCTCTTATATCTTTGTGAAACTGCTTGTGCTGCAGCTTCTTGATCGCCTTGCTTCTTTTTGTTGTGTACCTCTGAGATTTTGCTTCTGTCTTCAGCTGTTTTAAGTGGGTTTTATGGGGAGGACAGCAATTGGACACATACCCCACCTCACCAGCACACAGCCCCACCCCACGCACCAGTAGTCTTTCCAGGATTACATAGCCCAGTTCTGTGTAGTTTTTCTATGTATGCCTTGTGCACCAGCTCCCTAATCAACTAAGACATCTTCTACTGGTTTTTGTATAGTTTTATCAATTCCTCATTTACTGGATGCTTGAGGAGGGGGAAACAGTACCCGGAACTCGGATACAGCATCATGAATGCTAACTGCTGGGGAATAGCAGCTTCTTTTGACTTGCTGACTGCAGCATTGCAGTTGGCCAGGGTTTATTCAGACTAAACAACCCAACAACCCATAGAGCTACTTGGTTACTCTCCTTTCCCTAAGGATAAGGAGAAAACAGAAGGAAGCAAAAAGACCTATGAATCAAGATAATGACTGTTCAGCCTGGAGAAGAGAAGGCTGTGTGGAGACCTCGTAGCAGCCTTCCAGTATCTGAAGGGGGCCTATAGGGATGCTGGGGAGGGACTCTTCATTAGGGACTGTAGTGATAGGACAAGGGGTAACGGGTTCAAACTTAAATGGGGGAAGTTTAGATTGGATATAAGGAGGAACTTCTTTCCTGTTGGGGTGGTGAGGCACTGGAATAGGTTGCCCAGGGAGGTTGTGAATGCTCCATCTCTGGCAGTGTTCAAGGCCAGGTTGGATAGAGCCTTGGGTGACATGGTCTAGTGTGAGGTGTCCCTGCCCATGTCAGGGGGTTGGAACTAGATGATCTTAAGGTCCTTTCCAACCCTAACTATTCTATGATTCTATAATAGGAAAAGCAAAAGCTCACACAGGCAAGCAAAGAGAAGAATTAATTCCTTCCTTCTTGATGGGAGGCACGTGTTTGGCCACCTCCTGAAAAGCAGGGCCTTGACATGTATGCAATGCATCACAGAATCATTTAAGTTAGAAAAGACCTTTAAGATCATAAAGTCCAGTTGTTAGCCCAGGACTGCCAAGTCCACTGCTAAACCATGTCTGGGAGCATGACATTTACATGCCTTTAAATACATCCAGGGATGGTGACTTAATTGCTTCCCTGAGAAGCATGTTCAAGTGCTTGCAGTGAAGAAATTTTTCCTAATGTTCAATCTAAACCTTCCATGGCACAACTTGAGGCCATTTCCTCTTGTCCTGTCACTTGTTACTTGGGAGAAGAGACACCCACCTCACTACAGCCTCCTTTCAGGTAGTTGTAGAGAGTGATAAGGTCTTCCCTCAGCCTCCTTTTCTCCAGTTCCCTCAGCCACTCCCCATAAGACTTGGGTGCTCTAGTGCTTTAGACTCTTCATAATCACCCTTCCAAAAGTTATACCAAATATCAAAACCAGAAATGTCCCCTTTCCTCCTTTCCATGAACTTTTACTGCGGACCATGGCATGATATGGTATGGAATTTCACTTCGGTCAGCTTGGGTCAGTTGTCTTATCCTCTTGTCAACCTGCAGCCTTCTCACTAGGGGTGGGGACAGGGTGGAAAAGAGATAAAGCCTTGATAATGTGCATGCACTTTTCAGCAGTAGTAACAGCGCTAGTATCTTGCTAACACTGGTTTAGCCGCAGATCCAAAGTACTGAACCATATGGGTTGCTGTGAAGAAAGTTAACTTCGTCCTAGTGCACCAGCCCTGTATGTGGTTGACCTTCATTGCCACAAGGGCTAACTACTCACTGTTCAGGTTGTTGATCCCCACAGCTGTTTTCTGCAAAGTTGTTTCCTAACTTAACCCCAAGTGTGTATTGTTGCATGGGTTATTCTGTGCCACTTGCACAACAAACTCACATTTGTTTCTGTTCACTGTCATCAGATTTCTGTCAGTTCAGGCCTCTAGGTTCTTGAGGACTCTCTCGATAGCACCTTTATTCTCCAACATTGGAGACCAGTGTTGGAGACCACTTCCTGGCCTCTCAGGCTGATGTCACCTTCAGACCTGATGTGGGTGCATGCCATCCTGGCTTTCAGAACATTGATGAAGATTGGGCAGAGCATTCAACACTGTCCCGCATGACATCCTCATCTCTAAATTGGAGAGACATCAATTTGATATATGGACCACTGAGTTGTGGTCAATGGCTCAATGTCCAGCTGGAGACCAGTAACGAGTGGTGTCCCTCAGGGATCGGTGTTGGGACCGGTCTTGTTCAACATCTTTGTTGGTGACATGGACAGTGGGATTGAGTGCGCCCTCAGCAAGTTTGCCGATGACACCAAGCTGTGTGGTTCGGTTGATACGCTGGAGGGAAGGAATGCAATCCAGAGGGACCTTGACACGCTTGTGAGGTGGGCTGATGTGAACCTCATGAGGTTTAACCATGCCAAGTGCAAGGTCTGACACCTGGGTGGGAGCAATCTCAGGCACAGCTACAGGTTGGGCAGAGAAGAGATTCAGAGCTGCACTGTGGAGAAGCACTTGGGGGTGTTGGTTGATGAGAAACTTAACATGAGCTGGCTTCAGTGTGCACTCACAGCCCAGAAAGCCAACCGTATCCTGGGCTGCATCAAAAGGAGCGTGACCAGCAGGTCGAAGGAGGTGATCCTGCCCCTCTACTCTGCTCTCGTGAGACCTCACTTGGAGTATTGTGTGCAGTTCTGGTGTCCTCAAGATAAAAAGGACATGGAACTGTTGGAACAAGTCCAGAGGAGGCCACGAGGATGATCAGGGGACTGGAGCACCTCTTGTATAAAGATAGGCTGAGAAAGTTGGGGCTGTTCATCCTGGAGAAGAGAAAGAGAAGGCTGCGTTGGAGACCTCGTAGCAGCCTTCCAGTATCTGAAGGGGCCTCTAAGAGTGCTGGGGAGGGACTTTTCATTAGGGACTGTAGTGATAGGACAAGGGGTAGCAGGTTCAAACTTAAATGGGGGAAGTTTAGATTGGATATAAGGAGGAAGTTCTTTACTGTATGGGTGGTGAGGCACTGGAATGGGTTGCCCAGGGAGGTTGTGAATGCTCCATTCCTGGCTGTGTTCAAGGCCAGGTTGGACCGAGCCTTGGGTGACATGGTTTAGTGTGAGGTGTCCCTGCCCATGGCAGGGGGGTTGGAACTAGATGATCTTAAGGTCCTTTCCAACCCTAACTATTCTGTCTTAAGCTCTAATATCCCAGTGTAGTCTCCTGAAGGTTGCCTCATTTGAGTTGCTTCCAGGTAAGTTTTAAACTGTTGACCACAAGCCTTTAAATCTGGCAGATTTTCAGACACCCTGAAGTTGATATTTATCAAATTTGGTGCTAGAATGCTGTGGGAGGTGGCATTGAAAGCCTTATTAGAGTCAAAGTAAATCACATCCACTGGTGTCCTCCATCCCCCAAACCAGCTGTTTCCTCACAAAAAGTTACCAAGTTAGGTGCAATTTGCACTTCATAAAGCCATCCTGGCAATTCTCAATCGTGTACCTGGAAATTGCTTCCAAGAGTATTTGCTGAATACTTAGTCTGAGGATTGGGGTGAGGCTGACTCTCTCGTAATGCTTCAGATTCCCCTTCTTGCCCCGTTTTTGAAGATGAATAAATATGGCCTTTATCAGCGGGTTCCTGTGGTCACAGTGGCCTCTGAATAAGAGATTTTTATTTGATTTTATTGCGATTGGTGATACTTTTACATTGGAAACACCATAGACTTCTCACTTCTGCAAAACCATGTTGAGAACGAGGAAATGTAGGAGGGAGGATACAGCACAAGTCACACACAAACTGGGAGTGTGCTGTTTAAAGGGATTAGATCATACCTCTTAAGAGTTGAAAGGTTCTTTCAGAGAAAGAAGCAGAGGTAAGTCTAGGTAAAGTAAACTAAGGTGGTTGAGGCAGCAAAAATGGCAGTTTTGTCATATGTGCTCTTATACATGCTAATTTTTTTTGTAAGCTTCATATTTTAACGTAGTTTGCCTTTTTTATCACTTTTCTAAAGCATTGAAGATGGTATTAGCACATTTGGCAAACCCCTTGCAATCTGTTCCAACAAAAAGGAGCTGGTTTATTCTTGCAAGGACCAAAAGATTGTCACAAGGACTAGAACCGTGGAGAGTTTGAAGCTGCTCATTTGCAATACTGAAGACCATTAATGCAATTTGAAGTACTTATAAAGGAGGTTTTTTGGTGAGGTGTTGATTTAAAAGGTTCTTTGAGGAATTGAGCTTTAAACTCCTTTGAAGTTGAACAGTTGATATCTGTTTGCATTAGAAACACCTGGCAGACTGTGTAAAGAATATGTTCATGTCTGTAAAAAGGCAAGCAAAAACTTTTTAGAACTGAATGATTTGTTCTTAGAGTGTCTTAATTTTGACTTGACACATTTTGATATTAAAAATTCATTTTTAGCAAATGTACTTTTAATTATTGACGTTTTTTATATTGGTTATGTATTTTAAGTATAGAGACTAAATGTATTTTCAAAGATCACTAAAAGTCTAGTCAATTTTCACACATTTACTTTTCAGGAGCTGGTGAATCAGGAAAAAGCACAATTGTCAAACAAATGAAGTAAGTATGGTGAAATACTATTCTAGAGAAATATTTTGTTTATTTGAATAGAGAATTTATGTTTTTTTCTCCCTTCATAGGATTATCCATGAAGCTGGTTATTCAGAAGAAGAATGTAAACAGTACAAAGCTGTTGTCTACAGTAACACCATTCAGTCCATTATTGCTATCATTAGAGCAATGGGGAGGTTGAAGATAGACTTTGGTGATCCAGGCAGGGCTGTAAGTATTGAAGTACGCACACAGATACACAGCTGAAATATCCATTCATTTTCAATTTTTGTCTCTTAGTGTTTCCCAAAAAAAATCTCAAGATATCCAAAAATCTTTATAGGCTAAAAAGTTTCATTGAAAACTAAATGTCATTGGCCTTTACATGTCAAGGTGACCTACACAGCAGTCAACACTGGGCTCATTCACAACAGCTGTTTGTTTAGATACAATTCTCCAAATTCTACCTAAATTTGGAGAACTGAGTCTTAGGGAGGTTTTGAAAAACATTAAACTATGCGCTTAGGTCTCTTTACTTGTATGGACTTGTGGCCTATTATGTTCTGTAAGTATTTCAGTTAGACATCTTCATGTTGCTTTAAAACAGCTTAAATAGGTAGGTATCTACCTGCTGTCTGCATTTCTCTATTAGGTGATAGGCACAGCAATGCCTGAAACATTTTCAGCCTCTGAGCTTAATCCTGTTTCATACTAATCTCCGGTGTGGAGGACTGTATTTTACACGGGCATAACTCTGCTGCTGGTATCCCAGTTTTTTATATCATGTTAAGGATTGATGCTTTCCCCCAAGGAATAGACCTTTTCTAAGCTTTTCTGCTCCTTCTCCATCTTATTTCATCTAATGTTCCACGCACAAGCCTCTGAGTCTGTTTGCCATTCCAGCTATTAAGGCAGTCTGTATAATTGATTCTTTTAAGGCTTACTCTTTCTCCAGTCCTAACCCTATAATTTTACTTGTGGTGACCCTGATTACGTCCATGTCTGGTGGGGAGGTTAGATGCTCTGAATCTCTTTAAAATGCTGAGCTTAAGTGGTTTTGCATATCCTCTGGTTGCAGGAATACACTCTGTGCCACAGTGCTGAAATTCATCATCAAAGCTATTAGTCTGAATTGCACTGAAACTTAGTTCAGGATGTGTATTTTCATTTTCTCTGCATAGAAATTAATGTTGGAATATGGAATGCTCACTTTCTGAAGTGGGAACTAGCCTAGCACTATAATACTAGTGTATATCTTCAGTGACTTTGTGAAATGCATTATGTATGGTTGTTAAAAGAAGACAAACATTCGTAAGTTTACGTAAAGTGGGTCATAAAATTGTATATGAAGTCTAAATTTAATCTAATTCTACGTGACACCTCTTCAGTTGTAAACACTAATAGAAGCTTTGTTTTCATTGGCTATCCGTCTGTACATTATTCTCGTGTTTGCTGGTGTCGTTCCTTAAGACTAAAGTTTTCTAGGGCAGCAGCAGTATCTTATTGCATGTTACGTCAGTATTTGTGCAATGAAGTCCTCTCGGGAGTCTGGCAGTTAATGTTGGAAAGAGGCAGATGGTAGACTTACGTTGCTAAATACATAGAAAGAGAAAACGGTGTTAGCAGATAAAATGACGAACAAGAAGATTTTGAGGGCTATTTTATGCATGATATCAATTTGAAGTCATCTTGAGTTTCTCAACTTCAGAGAGCTATGTAAATGATGAGGCAAACTTGTCAGGGCTAATCTTAAAATAGCTGTCCATCCGTTTGCACTTAGGCAGGGCTTGGTGGTCCAAATTCTTTTTTCAGAGCAACACTGCTGTGGAGCATCAATTGTAGTGTCAGAAATGGAAAAAGGAATTCAGAGCATGAGTTACACATCAGTCTTGCTTAAAAAAAAAAAGTATGTATACTCCTTGATTATTATAATGTAGCTGTTTAAATGTTATTTTGTTACAATTTTATCCTTTTTATTTTGAGGAAAAAGAAACGAACCAGAAAAACAAACTCAGAATTGCAATTCCTGATGAAAACCATTACATTCAGACTTCTTTCCGTACATTTCTGAGGGTTTTATTCTAAATGGGCTGAGTTTGTTTGGAAAGTCATACACTCTTAATTCTGTCATAAGACTGAAGGTAAAGCAGTGAGTTTAACGTTTTCTTTTTTAAAGCTCTTGAATCAAGAGAGCACAGATTACACCAGCAGCTTCAGTAATGGTCCATCTCAAGATTGGTACATTTTCTTTTGTCCTACAGGATGTTTCAGTACTGAAGTAGAAACTCTGTTTTGAGAGACAATTAGTGAATGTACTTGAAAGGAATAAAGACTATTTTCTGAATGTGAAATTTGCTGTAATGAGCTAGAGATGGTTAAATTAGTTTCTTTATGTAATCTTATTTATGAAATCTGGTATAAAAATGATGATATGCAGGGAGAAAGCTACCCCATTCCAGTATAATTAAAAGAAAGTATCTAGCATTCATTAATAATGAAAATAGGACTTGGATCAGTGCATATGAACTTGTGTCTTGTAGTACTGTTCATACTTAGGGGTAATAGAGACCACTTTGTATGTTAATATTTGGGCTGAAATTGGTTTTCTTGATCCACCACCACCCTTCACCTCCCTCACCTCGTCCCATTTGAGAGCTGTTTGAAACAGAGTAAATTTGGAGTGTTTGAAAAGTCAGACCATGTTAGGTATAAAATGGTGTAATCATTCATGACAAAATTGACTTAGAAAACTAAGCTGTTTCCATCATGTATCTTAATATATTGGCTCTTCTTCAAGATCTGCTGCCTTCTGTGAGTTTTAGGTCCTTGGTATTTGCATCCACAAACAGTACTCAGAAGCAGAATTGTCATTCAGGTTTCTTTTGTGCAGGCATATTGCTCACGTGACATTCTGTGAGATCTGACTATCCAGCCCTTTGATCTTTACTGCTCTGGGCTTTTTTTATATAATTATTAGTGCAACCCATTGAATTTTCAGTTGTCCACAATTTGTCCTGTGCATGTACAGTAACTAGTATTCTGTTAATTTGTTTGACAAATGCTTGGTTTTAGATTTGTAACTACTCTAGCTTTCAAAAGACTTTCAGCTATATCATAGAATGATATATATCAGATATCTGATATATGTATATGTATATCATATGTATAACTACATATGTATATGTATATATAAAAATCTCTTCAAGTTTGCCTTGAGTTGACTGACTGTATGTAAGCTTTTTGTTTTCAGGCTGTGAATATCAGTGTTACTGAATCCATTTGTAAACAATTTCGCTCTCCTGATCTTTGATTATTTAAGTTTACAGCAGATGGTATCTTTAGAACAATCACTACTTCCTGTGCTTAGCCTGAAATATTTGGTTTGGTTTTCCCCACCAGACTATTGTTTGAACAGCAAAGGTGACAGAACTGGATTTTTCTACAAATTTGCCTCTGTATTTTTCACTTACTGTTTATGAGAATAACCTGACATGTTGCTTTCTAAAATCCTCCTCTTTACTGAAATACTTTCAGTTCCTGGCTGATGTGCCCAAGTCTCTTTTCTCCTTACCGCTTTCCAGTGTCATGTGTTCTCGTAATCATTGGACAAACAGTATGTGCTGTGGGAGTAGTTACAAGCCACAGATACGCTGATTTTTCTGGCTGACATACCTTGACATTAGGTCATGTAGAACTAATAACCAAGGTCAGGTAGCTATCCACAATAGAGTGCTAATGTGTATGGCTCACTTTCCCCTACCATGTGCTATCTTCTTTTTTCCAGTGCCTTACAGAGCTAACATTTTAAAGTTTCCTTCCTCACTCAGAATTGGATGAAGGTAGCCAACCGGTCAAATTCTGTTAAAGGAAACTGATTAATTGACATCCTGTACTCCATTAGCCTCACTCTCAAAGGCAGCCCTTATATGTAGTCTTCAAATCCAGCATTTGCTCTTTCAAAAATCTTAACGTTTCCTTGGTATTGCATTACTGAGAAAACTGCATCTTTGTAGAACAATTACAGTAATGGATATTTGTAACTGATTTATCTAGAAAGGTTTTAAAAAGTAATTTTCTGTTTCCTGATGCAAGATTTGTTAAAAAAAATGGTCATTTGTTACTTTTAGACAAAGTCGGTTTTTGAAACTTAAGTGAATAATGTGTTTTCTTCAGTCAATCAGTATACATCTGCATTACTGAATGTTCTAGTGTGCATTGTAACCGTTCTGTTCAGTTTGTGATATTTGGTAAGCAAATAAGGTTACTTTAGACTTAAGCACAAAATGTTACTACTTCTGTTTATAAAAGCTTAATTCCAGTTATAAACAGATCAGAAGCTTTATCAGCTAATGAGAAATTAAATTTATTGTCTTTCTGTTGAAAAATGTGGGAATTAATACCCTATGTAGAGCACTAAACCCAATTGTTTTCCTTCAAGTTTTTTTTGTTTGGTTACATTCACATTTACCAGGTTAAGAGAATAATTAATGTGCTGAATGTATTTCTTAAGTGATAATACTTGTTATATTTCTCAGTGTTTGTGTCTCCACTTTCTGTTTACATCCTAAAGGATGATGCTCGTCAACTCTTTGTGTTAGCTGGAGCAGCAGAAGAAGGATTTATGACTTCAGAGCTTGCTGGAGTCATCAAGAGACTGTGGAAAGATAGTGGAGTTCAAGCTTGCTTTAACAGGTCTAGAGAATACCAGCTTAATGACTCTGCTGCTTAGTAAGTACTGTGTGACAGACAAAATTCTCCTCATCTTGTAAGTAGTAGCTAAAGGAAGTGTCATCTTTTGAGGAGTTCTGCTCCCATATAAATAGAAAGCTTAGAAGTATCTGCAGAAGTATACTGTCTGCTTAGGTCAAAATGTTCCAAGTAAGCTTCAAGATTGGAAAGGAAGAGATGCGGTATAATTATCAATGAGTCATGACCTGATCAGTTTCATCTTCTTGAGGAAGACAGAAATAACTTTCAGAGCATTTTTATTACAAAAACATGACTCAAATACTTGTTTGGTATCTGAACATGTCCAGGAAACTAGATTGCATGATGTGATTCTGTATTAGTGAGGATACTACTGTCATGTTCATAGTAGTTTCTTCTGTGGTTCAACATTGCTGCATTTTCTTTATTAATTAACAGTCTGTTAGAAGCGTGTTGAGCAGAAGCAACAATCAGGATATCTTCTATGCTAGGGTACTTCACTGAAAAAGTAAAATATTAAGGAATCAGTGGTGTGAGAAATAGGATGTGATGGCAGCAAGTAATGGTAAGTCAGTGAAGGAAAAGAGTCCAGTGGAAGAGTGGTAACAGGGTAAATAACAGTGTAGCAGTGATACTGGTCTCATAGGGCAATTTTTCAAAGCCTTAGCATTCTAAATTAATTTGTAGTGTTTGAAATTGATTTTCACTTTCCTTAAAGTAAGGTTCTTTAGAATAATGTAAACAACCAATGTGTAGGTAACTGAGAAGACTATAACATAATAAACACGCTGGATGAATAGGAATGTTATCAAATTGTATTGAAATAATACTGATACTTTCAGCATGATTGTTACTTGTTTGCTGAAGTGCTTCTAAGGGTACAGAGGGTAGATGTCAACAAGCTGAGCTCATGATGACAGATCTCTTAGGAGATACCACTTGCACAAACTTTCTTTAATATGTATCACTTTTGTCTTAGTAACCTCCTTGGTTCTGTTTTGTTGTTTTAGATAACTCTGCCTCCAATTTCATAAGACTGTTCTTCCAGCCATACAATTGTATTCTTAAAATTGCAAACTTCTGGTTACAGTCTGAGAACATCATAATGCCTTCCCTGATTTACTATGGAAAAAGCACAATAAGATTTGTATGGCTTTTAGAAATGTTGGGCTGCTTTGCAGGAATTTTGGTAATGAAATTAAAATGAAATAAAAAGTGTGCAATTATAAATTATTCATAGAAAGTTAAAGTATTAAGCATTTTCTTAAACACATTAATTCTGGCTAAAATACAGAGTTACTATTTTCATACCTATTATCAAGTCCAGGGTAATTTTGAGCTTTGGTTACTCAAAATAACTTGTAGATCAGTATGTTGCAAAAATGAAGGTGTTCTTCCAGTGAGTGCAAATAACATTGGTGCAAGTGGAACTGTGTTAGGATTTCAAAAGGAACCATTTTAGGATTTCAAAAGAAGAATTCTTTGTAGTGGAGTCAGTTGGATATGTTTTCTTCTGGAATGAAATATCTTTTTTGTCTCTAAAGCTAATTTCAAAAAACCTTGGAAAATTCAGGGCAAGTATGTGTCGTGTTTTTTGCCTTATCTCAGAGAAAGCTATTTTATAAAGTAAGTCAAGCACAATATAATGAATGGACCTAGATCTTCTTTGTAATTATGTTGCTATTTTATGAATGACTGAAAGCAGTATTTATTTTTACCTTCAGTTACTTGAATGACTTGGACAGGATAGCACAAACCAGCTACATTCCAACCCAACAGGATGTTCTCAGGACTAGAGTGAAAACTACAGGAATAGTGGAAACTCACTTTACATTCAAAGATCTTCATTTTAAGTATGTAAATCATGCTGCATGTTCATCTGTCTGTTATGGTTTTCTGTAAAGTACAATGATGTTGTTAGACAAATTTATTAAATTACAACTTGGACACCCCCCATCCTTTTTTTCCCTATGAAAAAATTCTACATGCTTGGCTGAATTTTCTGAAGGGATGTGCAGAATTATTGGAACTCTTGTAATAACTCAGAAATAACTATGCAGATATTAAATAATGAATGCTTTGGGTGTATTGGAAGCTTTTTGTAAAGATATTTTATATGTAAATAAATCTCAAAATGCTCAATTTTCTGCCATGTTAAATAGTTGTTCATTTATCAGATTGGTCCCTTTAAATTCAGTTGGAGAGTTGGAGGCTTATGAATATTTGCTGGTGTTGTATGAAAGAGCAAACACATTTTCCTGGAGAACTTAATTAAAATGTGTTGTACTTTAGTACCTTATTTAGTAATTCAGTATGACTTATGTCTCCTGTTTTGTGGGATCGACAAAATAATGTTAAAAATCTGAACATTTTATGCCCAAAGACATTCATGATAAAAGCATAGGATAGTTTAAATGCAATAATACCCTACCTCTTCCTGATCAGGAAGTATGGAAGAAAATTCAGTAAAACTCACATTGCGTCTGCGTTTAAATTGTGCAGAGACTGTTGTCATGTCTAGTCAGTATATTTGTTTGGTATCTTAATGGAAAGTATTTTTTTTATGTAAATGCATAGCGAGTACTGTAACGTGGATGCTTCAGGGTCATCTGGACTGTAGAAATATATTTTGCTTCCTTGTTTTAGGGTTTAAGTATACAAAATTCATATTAATCCTTAAAATAATAGCTGTTAAATGGGAATGAACCTCTTGCAAACCTGAGAGTAGTTCTTGGCCAACCCTCAAGGGAGGTCTTCAGTATTCTGAGGAGCTATCAATTTTCTCACTAACTTAACTAACATTTCTTGTTCAGACCCTATTGTAGATGAGTTTAAATTCTTTTACACTCAGTGATTGTATGCAGGTGGCTACTTCCAGCCCGTACTGATTTTTTTTTTTTGGCTCTTAAAAAGATCATATCATTAGAGTCCTATAAAGTCTATTACAAGGACCACATGATTACACTTCTATAAAATGTGTAAACTAAAGACAGGTCTTTGGAAGTATTTGGCTCTCATGTAAAACACCTGAACAGTAGGTGCTTAAATTTTAGGTGCTTTAGGAGATAGTGATAACGTAGAGTTATTGGAAGGGCTTGACGTATATTCTTGCATAACATTGAAAAGAACTTTTAAGATGAACTAAAGGCATAAAAGGCTTGATTATACCAATATGAGGGCACATAAGCGACTAGCTGTGCAATATTGTGTACTTGAGTTGTTTTTCATTATCTTTTCTTTCCTGTTTTGCTGTGTGCATTTAGATTCTTTGACGTTGAGCCTCATTTCTACCTTCTCTGTGAAGCACTTAGCCCAGCTTTGATTATTGATTCAATCTCAAATGCAAATTGCAAGTCATCTTCATTATGTTTTATATAGACTATTTCAGAAGTTGAGTCTGATTATTTACTTCTTTTGCCTTCAAAGAACACCTTATTTTGTAGAAATGTTCTTCTGATAACCTAATGAATTCAGGTCTTAATACAAAATTATAAAACATTAGGGTTAGAATTGCTCGAAGTAACAACTAAGATTTAAGGTATTATTAAGGTATACGAGTACAAAATGCCTTCCTATGGATACAGCCATCACTAATATTTGAGAACTAATTAGGAGTAGGTGGCTGACTTGCGTGTATATAGGCTGATATCCAGACAGAGATTTCCCTTCAAAGATGTCTCTGAAGGTAAGGGACACTTCTGAGGAATCCTTTTTTCATTTCTGAATTCTAACAGGAGTCATCTTCAAAGTGTTTTTAAGGTGGCATTATTCCATTGTAGAACATTAATTGGACAATGATATTGTCACTTGCACAATAGCATACACAAGTAGAAGACCTCGTTTGAGGTTATGATGTTTCTGATAATTTTTTATAGGAAGGCAAAGGGTCTTTACTGTGTTTTTTTTGAAATAAGTGTTGCACCTCAGAACACTTGAAGATTTCTAAAAATAACAACTGTAATTGAACCTCTTCAAGTGCAATTTACCTAGTCATGTTGAACACTGACTTAACATTGGGAGTTGTTTTTTTTTTATCTGCCTGCCCCCACACAGTCTTACAGTCCAGGGTAAACAGGAAAGGGGGGTAACAAAAATACAGGTCAGATTTAACAACTGTGTGATCTGTGATGCTTTCCAGATATATATAATATTTTTGTAAACACCCTGATTCAAAAAAATATATGTCAAAGTCTTTCGCTAGGATGAGGATTGGAACAAACAACTTGTATGATCTTAAGAAAAGAATTGAAAGCAACCATAAGAAATATCTGGTGTGCTTTTGGCCTGTATCCCATTTTGTATGGGTACTGGAACGATGTTTGTTGCTTAAATAGGTTTAAAGAAGCATAACTCAGCGGTTGTGGCAACACTTGCTTTTGAAAATACATGGTGCTAATGAAAAGACCTTGCATAAGGCTTTCAGTTTGCTCAATTACAGATAAACCATTCAGAAAGGTTTTCTTTCCTGCTAAGCTAAGAATTTAAAAGAAACAAGTTTCACACACAGAGCTCAGTTTCCCCACCCCCTTAACTGCATTTTAGAGGGAAAATAATTATTCTTATTATGTGATGCTTGTTTTGTCTTTTAAGAGAACTTTGAAAATATGTGTCTCTTAAAAAAGTCCTATATAAAATGGACGATTGAAAAAATTAAAATTAGATTTCATATATTTACATTCAGAATACTAGAATAACAATGTTAATTGTATCGAGCTTCCTTAGTATTGCACTATTTCCAACTGTCGGACACCATGCTGCTTGTAAAGAATCTTACACTGTTGGTCAGTACCTTTTAACTCAATATTTTAAAGTTTTTAACTCATTCGGGCTAAAGGCTGAATAACACTTTCATCTAGTTTATGTTTAGTAAAGCTAACTGCGTTTTTACTTTTTATAGATTACAATCAATTATTAAATACAATATCGTAAATAAGTAGTTTTGTTTAGCTTTCATCTCACCCTTTCTCATATTTTATAAAATGTTGTACAGGAATGCTTTTTAAGGCTTTATATAGATTTTTTTTTTCATACTGAGACATTAAATGGTGATAAACGTTGCAAGTGTTTTAATGCCTTTTTAGAAATTGTGATCACGTGTACAGCTGATAATTTCAGATTTTATTGGTTAACATTCAGAAAGTTAGAAATTCTAAAGTCCATTCTCTGCTTTGCACTTCTGTTTTGCAGAATGTTTGATGTTGGAGGCCAGAGATCAGAGCGGAAGAAGTGGATTCATTGTTTTGAGGGTGTTACAGCAATTATTTTTTGTGTGGCATTAAGTGATTACGACTTGGTCTTGGCTGAAGACGAGGAAATGGCAAGTACTGTAATGTTGAAGAATGTTCTTGGATAAACCTTAGTTCTTTCAAACTAAATAAGTTTTTGAAAGGAAAGCTAGAAATCTTCTAGAGTTTTACTGCTGTGTAAGATGTATGGGGTTTGTGTGAAAGGTCTCAGAGAAATGGTGATAAAATTCATGCTTTCAGGTTTCAAAGTCCTTCTTCATATTCTCAGAAGGAATACTGAGACAATATTCTTTCCAGTCACACTCTTTCTTGTTTTAAAGGATGCATAAATTCAGGAGGATAGGTTATCAGTAGTATATGTTTTAGTCTCTTTATGGATGTTGGAAGTATCTAATAAGAAATTGCTCAACTTCTGTGTTTGTACTTTGTGTTTTGTTTTCCTTTGCTCAGTCTTCAAAACCTGAAGGTTTTGTTTCTTTCTAAATGTGTTTCTCTGATTTATTTCCTTAGTTGCAGAAATTTTTCTTTACCTTCTCCCTTTTAACTCCCTCTGTTCCTTTACCCTCTTTCAAGGTGTGACTCCTCCATATCAGTATGCACAGAGTGGTCTAAAGTGATGCTTAATCGTAGTGTGTGAATCATTGACAGATTTCTGTGCTCATCCTCAAGTTCTGAAACTTCTTACAGAATATATTTTGGGGAGGAAAGAGGAAGGAAAAAACCCTTCAAGTCAAATGTAGTCAAAGAAAGTCATAGCTAGGACCTTGCTACTTAATAACTGGATCTTGGCCAAAGAACTTACACGTTGGTCTGTTTTTGTGCAGTTAAAAAATTATGCTAAGAGATAAAAAACATGCTCACTTGATTCTCTAGTCCTGTAGAACCATTTTTTTTCTTTTTTTTTCTTATGCTGGAATCTCTGCTAGGTGCAGAATTTAATTTTCAGTATCCAGAACATCTAATCGGTGCAGGACAATTCAGGTAACTCAGCAACTCTTGTAGAATATCTATACTGGAAAATGTCAAAACACACCAAAAATTCCTAAGATATTGAACAGCTTAAACCTGGAAAAGAGAAGAAAGAAAGAAGATTGACTAAACCCTGCCTGTGGAAGTGTTCTTTGTAGTGATCTTGGCTTCTTGGTGTTTCCCTGTGGTAAAATGTGATTCTGTAGGCTAGAAACGTAGTTCTGTAACTTACTTGGCTCATTTGTATCTATTCAGTAATGTGTATCCTGATCTTACTACTGAAGTCTGAAATACAGCGAGGTGTTTTTTCCAATTACAGAATCGGATGCACGAAAGCATGAAATTGTTTGACAGTATCTGCAACAATAAGTGGTTCACAGACACTTCTATTATTCTCTTCCTGAACAAGAAAGATCTTTTTGAAGAAAAAATCAAAAGGAGTCCTCTCACTATTTGCTACCCTGAATATGCAGGTATTAGAGGGGGGGTGCAGGAGTCAAGTAATTTTGGCTAAAATGCCTCTGTTTTGATGCACAAATCAGGGGGAGCTTGATAACTCTAAACTTTAGGTATCAAAAATACTTTAATTAAGAAGGGGGAGGTTGTTTTTATGATCACAAATAAAATGGTGCTAAGTCAGAGGCATATTTTCAACTGAGTGAAATAATGCTGGTCCACTGAAAGCACTTACATGAAACTGCTGCAACTCTTCAGCTTAATTTATTTAGTCCATTCTTTTTTCTGATGTCCTCCTATTTATGTACTTGGATGTAATTTTTTTTTTGCTAGCAGGAATCCCTTAGGATACATGAGAGTGTATTTCAACAGGGAGTGTACATGTATGTTAGAAGGAGGTAGCTTGTTCAGGAAATACATAGCAAAAGAAAAGAGGATTATTTCATGCAACAAGTCTTAGGTTTTTTATGTATCATTTCCTTGTAACTTCAGACTATTCCATGGTACTGAAAATAGCAGATTGGAGGTAAAAATTAGGGGGAATGCATATGCATTTTTGCAAAAAAACCCAAAGCTTTTAAAAACATAAAAATCAAATAGCAAGTAACTTGAATGAAGGAAACAAAATATCCTAATCTAGGGAGCAGTGATGGGTCATTAATGATTTGTTTGTCTTCTGCTGAAGTAAATGGAAAGGCTCTTTCTGCAGCTGGAATTGTCTCCTTAGTTTTTATTCTTAAAAATGTTTCCGAAAGGTTTCCTTCATAATTTATTTGTGGTATCTTAAAGCAATGGCTGTGGAACTATTCCCTTTCAGGTTTAGGTTAACTATTTCCAAAGAACCATTTCCTTCAAAGATACACTGTGCATCTTGTTCTTTCTCAGTTTGCTTACTGAGCAATTTTTATCCTTCTAGGGTCAAACACTTACGAAGAAGCAGCTGCTTACATTCAGTGTCAGTTTGAAGATCTTAACAAGAGAAAAGACACGAAGGAAATCTACACTCACTTCACATGTGCCACAGACACAAAAAATGTGCAGTTTGTTTTCGATGCTGTAACCGATGTCATTATTAAAAATAACCTTAAAGACTGTGGCCTCTTCTGAGAGCAGACAGAAGATTGCTAAATGGTAAATTACATTTCTGGAAGCAGGACTTAAGCATTTGGAATATGCCCATGCTGTTGTAATACCTGCATAGATATACTTAATTCTCTTTCATTTTATTTCTAGGTTTGGAGAACGACTTCGCACAATTCTAATCTGATTCTTTTCAAGGCGAAAGAAATGAAAAATGCATTGTGCTGAATGATAGATCAGTACTGTACTTGCCTGTTTTAACAGCTTTATTTATGTTTGTCTTGTAAATTTAAGTAATTAGTTAACACTGAGATGTCAGTTGATTGTATGTATACTTATAATTGTAGTAATGTATTTGTATAAACATTGAATGGAATATTTTAGTAACTTGATGTCCTCTAAACTTTCCATGTTTTATGAAGATACTCTTAGGGGAGACAGACCTTTTTGCCTTTGGATTATTTAAACATCTTGTAAAATTAAATTTTCTTTTCATCTTAAGGGTGCATGCTGCCTTATTCTTTACTTTTGTTGGTAATACTGTATATGGCGTTAGCTTTTTTGATATTTAAACAGCCTCATACACCTGCTCAGACTTAAAGAAACATAACCAATAAAACTTATGTTTGCCTTAAGTTTCAGGGGGAAAAAAATCTTTTTATAAATTTAAGATAAATGCAAGGATTATTTTTTAAATTTAAATGAAATCCATAGTTTATGAAATCTGGACATTTTCAGTCTTTGCAGTACAAATATGGCAACACTGAAATTGAATTTTAAGGTTCCACTGTCATTGAAGCTGTTGGAAATGCAAAAAGAAAGTTGTTAAAACCATTCATATCAATAAAGTTTGAAACTGTGGTCTTTACTCAGTGACATGAATGGCAAAATTACTTTTTTACATAGTTAACAAAGGCTGGACTTCAGAGTAATGCTTTTTTTATGCTTAGCTTAAAAGTCACATCATGTTCTCCTTAAACATTTTGCTATTTTCTGGTAATAAACTAGTTTGATAATTTAATAACCATAGAAATATCAGATTCTCCTACAAGACATGGCACAGTGGCATCACAGATTAAAGCTATATCCTGTTCCGTATAGAAAGAATCATCAGTATTTTGAATAGGGTGTTTTATTGACTTGCAAGTGCTGTTTAATTTCTTTAATTATAATTAAAGTCTCACAGTTTCTTTAATAAGCTAAAATGTATGATTTTCTTCTGATTTTGCTTTCATTATGTGTTCTGCTATCTTAGGTACATATCATCCATTGCCTTATGGGTAGTGCCAAAACTGATTTTTTTTATACAAGTTTTAAAATGAATAAGCTCCTGTTTGTAAATAAGTTCATGGATGGTTGTCTTAAATGTATGTCATCTAGACAGTACAAATGTACCAAACTTGGAAATATGGTTTTCTATAATTGTTAAAATATTTCAGGCAGCTACAGTACACCATAGGCTCTTTGAGAAGTAAATTAAGTCTTTCAACTTCTTGCTATTTTTCTATATTTAACATTTATGTTCTTAATGTTCAGCCAAACTATTTAAGTCATTGTTCTGTTATTTAATTTTTGATTGTGTGTTTCATTTAGGCCTCAGCTTGAGTAAAACTTATCTGCACTTCTCATTCTTTAATGCTTTCTTTGTTAGGTACAGAATTGCTAAATATGTTTCAAATGAAAGATTAGAAAGGAGATAACTTATTACTGGAGTTTGTTAAATATATTCATGCATTATGAGCTCTTTCACCAGTTATGGTAAACAATCTGTATATCCTGAGCTGCTTTTAGTTGTGCTTTACGATTCTGGATACATAACTGATTTTAAATCTCATTGAACTACTTTGTGGAAATTGTATTTACACCTACGTTCAAGTTGGTTTTTGTACTAAATGTAAAACTAGAATTGGGATTAATCAAATAAATCTAAATTTTGTGCCTTGCTTGAAAGAAATGTTTTTCATTAAATATGCTGGTGGAAATCTTTTTTCATCCATCCTGTGGAGGTAACTAGGTAGGAAAAAAGAGAAGATAAGTCCAGAGTAAATTCAAAAACTATGCAGGAAACAGTGAAAATGAGCATAAATTTTTGATTAATTCCTAAATATTTTCCCTTGAGCATTGTTCCTCACACCTTCAACTGGAGAATATTTTAAATTTCATACATGGTGTTTTCTGAAGTATTTACCTCTTAACACAGAACAAAATTGTGAAATACTTTAGCTTGCTAGTCCAGGCAAATAAATAAGCTTGTGTTTTTTGACTTGAGCAGACAGTAGATATGTTTCTTTATAGATGCAGAGATTGGGGTTATTGAGCAGTTCTATTTTGGTAATAATTTGCTTGGACTAAGGCATAATTTAGATTATTTTTTAAAGTGCAGTCAATGGGCTGAGCTCCAAATGGGATAGTATAATGCTATACCATTCTTGGTCTCATTCCCTTCTGGATTTTAGGAAGTGAAAGAGTTGAGCCTGCAGTGTGGAAATAGAGGCCTGTAGTAGAACTGTGTTTCTGTAGTGCAGTGCCTCACTTCTGAAAGTAATTTCAGAGCAGCTGTTACAAAAGAAAGATGTATATATGCAAGAATGTACTGAGCTGAATGTGCTGTTTGACTTTGTTTTTAATTGCAATGGAACAAGAGTGTAAGACCAAATGCGTTGGCAGCTTCACAGAATTAGCTGTTACCAGCTACCCTTCTTTATTCTCCCTCCTTTTCTGTCTGTCCACTGATAGAGAAGTTTGGGAAGTGGTGTTGTCATTGAGCTTTCTCACTCTCAGGTTATATTGTTGTATAGGCATCCAAGGAATGGGTGCTTTGAATCCTGTGGAATATGCTGATCTTTAATTAGTTTTGCAAATAAAGAGCATACAGATGTGTCTATATAATGTTATTATAGTAATGTAAGAATATGCAGGCTTATAATAAATAAGTGTACTTAAAACTTCATGTGTTTATATTGACAAGCATGAAGAAAAATCTAGGAAACCAGGAACTTGAGCAGGTAAAGCTTTTCAGTTACGTAGCTTATAGTTCAAGCGATTCAGTCGTATCAGAAGTCCTTACAGTATGACACAGAGAACATCTCAAATACCTCTTGCAAATAAGTGTCCTCGTTTCTACAAAATACTTTGGCACCGTACAGTACAAATGGCTGAGAGGGAAACGCATTTCAAATAGGTATCAGAATACTTGCAGGAGGATTTGGGCACTTGTTAAAGTAGTGGTTATCTCAACTAAACCAAATTAATAATTTATCAGTTTGCACAAAAACTCAACGGTGTAATAATTTACCTCAGGAACCCAGATGTCTTAGTGTGACAAAAATATGCTGAGGTATAGTCACAAATTCTTAACTCCTCTTCCAATAAATAGTGTGATAACCCCCCCATGCAATCTCTTCTAAAAACCCTGTGAAACTAAGGCATCTTGAGAATTGTATAGTTTTGATTGAAAATGCTTGTCCAGTATTTGGAGATGCATTTGTCCTGTTGGTCATGACTTTTTTTTCTTAGTTTAAAACAATGATGCAGCTATTCCTGTTTTGATTATGTAAATTAGAAGCTTAAAATACTTTGTTCTAGTAATAAAAGTTAGACAATTTTTCAATGAGAACAATATTAACCTTCACTTGGTGTCAATTGCTAAAACTTACATTTTCTTAATAAGAATTATTGGTGTATTTATTAAATAAAAATCAGAAGTCATCAGTTCCATAATTTAGACTGTAAAGCTGGACACCAAGAAACAGAAAAAGCATATCCAAATTACAGTCAGTGGCTTATTGTAGCAGTGTTACTTGAACACATGTCCAGGATGTGTTGTTTTTTTTTCCTGTGTATTACACTTTAAGATACCTGTAAGTCAGCAAGGATAGTTCATCACATCTAGTTTTTGTTGATGATCTTTTTGCTATTTTTAATTGTTAACAAAAAATACAGGTTTAATCCTTCATACTTCCGGAAATGTTATTGTAGAAAAGGTAATTTATTAGGTGCTGCACATGGAGATGAGTGCATGTGATCAAATTCTGAAGTTGCTTATAGATTCTGCCAGTATCTTTCATAGCCAAGTTACGTTGGCTTGGCTTACAAGTTGTTAGTTTGCCTTGGTTTTCTGCTTGTAAATTAATTCCTTATACAGTTCTTGGTCTTTGTCCTTCTATGTAAGGGATGGAAAGAAGTCATAAACTGTATCACCTACTGAGGCAAAAAGAACATTTTCAAGACATTTGTAGTCACTCAGGCATACGAGACTGATGTTCTGGGAAGGCTTTAAAGAAAATACTCTGAACTTCACAGCTGTGTCCAACATTTGAAGAAGCAGCTTTAGGAGAGTCACATGACATAGAGTTGTGTTTTGGCAGATTCTTGTATGTTTCTGTGTTTTGGAGCTCTGACTGTGAGGAGATACAGTGAGGTACGTGCAGTTGCTTAGCCCTTTACCCCTTTCTTTCCCAGGTGAGGCTGTTAGGTGTCAGTGTATTATAGGCCCAGGCAGCCTGAACTTACAAATGCTTAAGGCAAAGGGTTGTGAGCTATTCAGCAAAAAGAAACATGCAAAATGCCTCCAGCTTCCAGAGAGAGTGAGACTCCCCAGAGAGATGGAGAGGGAGAGAGGTGGCTGCTTTTCTGATGTCTGTTAATTTTGTGTTTGAATGCTCTGAGGGCTTAATACAGTTTTACAAGGAGAGATTATGTATTTGGATGCTTCTGGGAGAAAGTTGTTGGTATATTGTTCACTTAACCTCGAAACCTCTTGTCCTTTCCAGATTCTCAGCCTTTGAAGATCTGTATTCCTCTAGTTGCTGTGCCTGAAAGACTAAAATGCTGATGCAGCTGCAGAGTAATAGTTTCCTTGTCTTGAATGAGCTTTCTCTTCAAAACTAGAATTTTTAGTATTGTAGTGTCTCAAAGATGATCTAAAATTTAAATCCTGAGGCTGTTAAATAAGTTTTATAGTGCTTTAAATATTAAAAGAGCAGAAATATGGACAAGCTATTTCATTTCACTTAATTTTTTTTTCTCCCTGGTAGATCTGTGAAAGGAAAATTAATAGAGCAGACTGCTCTTTGTGAGCCTTCCTGAGACAGCACTGCAGGGGCTGTGTGCAGTGCTGTAAGAGAGGCAGAATGAAGCATTTCTATATTCTGTGGAATTGCACCAAAGAACTGATAGCACTTCCTGATAGCTCTAGTGTTTTAATGTGGTACATTAACAGTTGACATCCTTGACAGAGAGAAAAGAAATATTAAAATCGTATCAATGATACAGAGCCCTAAACTACCAGAGTACAAGTGTCAAGGTCCTTTGAGGCCAACCTGTGGTGACTGCTGTAGAAGGGCTCTTTAGATAAACTGACTTTCATTGACAGCTTTAAAAGGAGTTAGCTGTTTCGTCACTTTCAAAAGGATTTCAGAAAGCAGTGAGCAGTTCTCTTAGAAATGGGGTAATTTTCCTCACTTTAATGTTCAGCATTTTAAGTTAAAACAGTTTGTGAA